CTGATGTTAGAAAGCCCGCGCCTCTTTCGACCCTTGCAGCACACTCCAAACTGATGGTTCCTCTCTGGATCCAAGCGGCCCAGAACCATCGCAGGGGCATCCAGCAGAGTGCTGTGCAAGAGCAAGGTGTACATGGCGAACCTGGGCAACAAGGGCTGTCAGGGCGCGCCCGCTTTCAGAAATCCACCAGAGCCAATAAAAGGCCTACAGCAAGATGCGAAGCGAATCGTAGCCCAAGTTGCGGGACGGTCTTGAAATGATCGCGACCGCCTGCGAGTGAAGGGCTTCGAGCGGATGTGTTAAGTTATGAAGGCAGCCCGTCTTGAAACTGACTCCATGATTTGGGTGGTCCCCAAAGTCGCCTTGGCTATCCTCGGCCATCTGCTTCAGCACAACGGCAAAGACGTACAGTGTGCAGAAGAGCCTGGGCTCGCAAACTTTACAACCTTGCCGGACGAGCCGGTGCGCCTAAACGAGCGTGTCTTTGGCATTCCTGCGAGAGGAGTTTCTGCAAACCTGACAAACTGTCGGAAGGCACACCGACGGTATACTAGGTATACTACAATGTCAGGTGGACGATCTCAATCTTCGCAAGTGACGACGAGCACAAACCCCGGGGCTTTAAATGTAAGACACGACGCAGGCAGGCAGTGACCACGACGGATCTGAGGCACGCCACCATGCCCTTGACGACGATCCTTGGCATGGCAGCGTTTTGTGAGTTGAGCCAAGGTGTCGAAATCCTCCCTGCGCAGGAAAGTCCTCTATCCCTACACCCCAAACCCTCCTGAACCCCAAAACCCTGGCTCCGAGACAGCCCAATCAAAGATTAACCCGCAATGCAATTCAACCCTGAACCCTCCTAAACCCCAGACCTGTATGAACCCCAAGACCCTTCAAACCCTAAAGCCTAAATAACCCTGAACCCACCCAAACCCCAAGGCCCCAGACCCCTAACACCCGAAAAGCCTAAATAACCCTGAACCCTCCTCCCAAGACCCTAAAGCCAAAAAACAACCCTTGAACCCGAAACTAACCAACTAAATAACTAACTATGCCTAATCGCCCCTTGATCTTAGCGCGGCCTCCGCAGAAGAGCCGGGCAGAGAAGCGTTTCGAGGAATAGGCTACTATGCAAGTGCGTGACAAGGGGGGATGGGATCGTGCTCACTGAGTTTCTTAGCCTTTCACTACAAGAGGTAGACCAAGGCTGATTGACACCGCCCATGGGGGCGATCTAATGGTGAGACCTGGGGAAGTACATGATGATGATCCTTATCAAGCGATGCATGCTTAGCCATCCCACCTCCCAACCTCACGCCTGCAAGCGAATCTGATTGCTCTCCAGCTACCTCCGTCGACTTTCCTCCGCAACCCCTAAACATCCCTGAGCCTACGCGAAACGGCTCGAAACTTTGGATCCGTTTGGTCGGGGCTCATCAGCTCCGGGACCAGCTGCAGTAGCCGCGCGGTCCTCGAAACCACAGAGGCTTTGCAGCTATTGGGCGAGTTTCTGTGTATTAAGGACAGCATGCTGGGTTCAAAGATATCCCAACCTTCGCCGCTGATGCCCTTGGAATCGACAGCCTTTAAGCCCTCAGAAGCTTCTCCCTAAACCCACAAGAACCCTAAATCCTAAAGACTCCCAAAGACCATCCGCCCGAATCCGCCCTAAAACCTGGGGCCTTGCGAGTCGGGAGAGTCGCAGCAGCCGGATCAAGCCTTATGTGGGTAAGGGCTGATGGTCTTCAAGGGCTCGAGGCCTTCCCGGTGCGGGTGGGGGCCCCTTGGTCTAATTCAAGGGCGTAGGCAGGACTGCGCAGGCGTCATTGAACCAACATCATGGACACAAAGGTGCAGCTTACGATGCAGAGCCCGGGCGAAGTTGTCTGCGGGACTACTCAGGAGAAGCCACAGCAAACCCTTATAGCCTTCAAGTGATGTCGACGAGCAGAAGCAGCATCAGCATCAGCATCAGCATCAGCGGCAGCGGCAGCGGCAGCAGCAGCAGCAGCGGCGGCGGCAGCGGCGGCGGCAGCAGCAGCAGCAGCAGCAGCAGCTGCCGGCAGCAGCAGCCGGCAGCAGCAGCAGCAGCAGCAGCAGCAGCAGCAGCAGCAGCAGCAGCAGCGGCAGCGGCAGCAGCAGCTGCGGCAGCGGCAGCGGCAGCGGCAGCGGCAGCGGCAGCAGCAGCGGCAGCAGCAGCGGCCGCAACTAGCACCACCACTGAGACCAGTGAGACCACCACCACAGCAACCACCAGGAAACTGCTACAGTACGTCAGACGCCACGCGTGTGGCAAATGTCTGTTGTCCCTGCCATGATCAAGGCCGCGAGGCGCAGGGAGGACGTTCCTCCGAGTGCAGGGTCCTTGGACATCTGCCGCAGTGCGTGGCATGCGTGGCAGCTTCTGTTTCTAATCTGGCTGCTCAGTAGTCGCGGCGGTTCCGCGCTGCGAAGTGTCCGGCAACTGCGAAAGCAAGCTTAGGAACCGCTAGAACACACCAGAACATATCGGAACCCTTGGAGCCTCAAATCCCTTGTGCCACATCCGTCTGCAGGTTCGGCTCTGATGTATACAAGTGGCATGTACCTTGTGTTTATAAAGGATCCTGCTGCTGCAGCTGATCAAGCCACAGTTTACTCAGCCTGCCCCGCAAGTTCTCAAGTCCCTGCCATCCCGAGGCAAGAGTCTGTGTGGCTCTGGCTCAAGACCTTGCAAAGGAAAGCATGGAAGAACATGGACTCAGCCTGTCACAGCTTTGCGGGGACCTAAGCTCGGCGCCAAGACGATGGAAAGAATCCACGTCTCTGCGACGTTCAAGGACACCAGCACAGAGTCCTGGGGCAAGACAGAAGCGCGCAAAGAAGCCGGAGTCGGAACCCTGAACAGGCCATGAATCCTAGAAGTCCTCGCTGATTTCCTAGCTCTCCCACATATGGGGCCCTGAAAAACAAGCCCAGCTAAACCCCATTTAAGTGCGCCGAAGCGTCAAACACGAACCATCGATCTTGCAACGCCATGCGCTTCATCTTGAAGGCCAGGAAGCCTCAAGGAGGCAGGATTTTGGAAAAACTTGAGAGTTGGTGTGCCGTTTTAACATCTAAAAGCATCGGAGTATGGTCTTTCTTTGTGGCTTTGTATGATGGCTTTCGCTGTTAAGAGTTGCCATTTGCCCCAAGCTGCGAATGAACCACTCGACGAAGAAGTAAGTACAGAAGACATGCTCTGGAATCTGGTACTGCAATGCAGCATCCACCAGCACCGTTGCTTGGTTGTTGTCCGCATCTATGGCGATCCACACTGCATAGAGGACGATCATGAAAAGAGTCACGTGATGGAAGAGCGGACTTCGTGCAATCGCCTGCGCCAGTCCGTCCTGCCAACAGACGGATGACTGGACTGGATTCCTGGATGATGGTTGCGCAGCGGTGTTCACTATACCTGTCATCTTCGCCAGCCACAACCCGCTCCCAACTTGCAAGCACTAGAACTACCCACGCAAAAACTGTGATGCTGACAAGCACACCGTCCTGCCAGTAGTAGTCTTCTAAGGTGGCCCCACCCTTCTCCACCAAGCGCGTGATGAGCTTTTTCTTGAGCTGCTCGGATTCCTGGGCTGAACAAATACAGGCCTTGCTTTCAAGGTGTCTCCGCAGGTGCGCCAACAGGATGATTCCTGAGTCACGCGTCCAATCTACAGCCAAGAGGCAGCCGCCATTACAGAGCTGCCAGTGCTCACATTAATATTGTTTCCAGAGTTCGTCAATCCCAGGCCCAAACGCTTCCACCGCGGAGACCTGGGATACACGAACAGAACGAGCAACCTAGATGACTTGCTCGATGCATGTCGATGCTGGTCCACACAGACCCACACCCCCAAACAACTCTTTTCATCTCTATACCCTCAATCGAGATCGGGCACTAAAATGTATAGGAAGTGGCCGTTTGCTTCCTAGCCGCTTGGGAGACATAGGGGACCGCGCAGATGAGCCTGGTGGGGAGATGACCGGCGGGGAGACCACGGCGGATGCCTGCGGCCGAGAGCGGCGGAGGGTTGGGATGTTGCAGGTGTATGTTCAGCTTGGCGACAGACCCTCGCGGTGTGCTGCGTCTTCGCGCCAAGAAGCTAGCGCGGTATATGTTCAGAAGCAAAGCGGCTTTACCAACTCTTTTTGACCTTCTTTGCTCACCTTCAGCTGCACGAAACCTCCAATTTTAGGCTTATGCCCCAGAGCGTGCTCCAGACCAGCTACTCTACCACTTTGCCCCCCAACGCCTGCGGTGGAGAGCTCGGCGCCTGCACTGCTGGCAAGGCTATGGACATGGCCCACTGTGTGGCTTCATGCCAGTGAATCCCAGGCACACCTGCTCATATACCTGTGCTTGCTTCAGTCTTCCATTTTTTGTCCGGTTGTGGCATTTGGGGAAAGCGATATATGCATGAGCCCGTAGATGCACTGGATCTCTGGACAACCTACTCCTTCAGGCCCCGGCATTCGGAGGAAGCGGCAGCAGCAGCGCATCATCGGGCGGCAATGATAGCGCATGGTCCTCTCAGGCTCAGAAGCCACCCAGGAGCCCATCTTCCCACACATTGCGCCCTAACCCTAAACCCTAAACCCTAAACCCTAAACCCTGACCCCCTTTAACGGTCCGGGTTGAGCTCCGCCATGGCGTGCGAGGGCAAGTGACCGAGCTCACCAGACTAGTTTGCCCTTCGTGCCTGTAGAGAAGCTGTGTCTGTGAAAGCTGGGGGGCTTCAGCTATGGCTTCGGACGGGGCCATCTGTGCTTGAAACCATGATACGGCGTTGCTGCCGAAAACTGTTCGCCACAGCTGACCTGGAGCCAGAATAACTCGTTGCAAACAAACTGAACCAAAAGAACAGCAACCCACGGCCGGGTGTCAGTATGGAGCCCACGGGCCACCGAAAAGGGAGTTCCCGAACCCAATCCCTGGATCCGAAAACCCTATGATTCGGAGCAATAGGTCCGCTGGCGGTCCACGATGAGCGGCTCCGAGGGGTCCTCCCGGCTTCCTTTGTGGTATGCGTGGGATAAATCAGGGCTTGGGAATGAGGGCTCATCCTCCTCCCACTCCAGAGGCTCTTGATAAAGGAAAATCCTGCACACTTGCAGGTGTATTTTGTGACCCAAACCTCAGCAAAAGCGCAATCCGGGAAAGGACCGAAATCTTGCACGACTAAGGGGGTGCGGAACTGTCGTGGGGTCGATGGTGTATATGAGTGCAAGGCTTGCTCAATCCACCGAAGCTTTAACCCTTCAAAGTGACTCCAACATACCACAAGCTACCAAAAGAGAGGACTCGAATATATGCATGTTTGAGGAGGAAGGATTCAGGAACATGCTTTCTTTCTGGCGTTCGTGCAAGGGGCGTACCTTTGCAGTCACTTGGATGATAAATAAATACATACATATATATATATATGTAGAGATATAAATATATATATATATACATGTGTATGTACATATATATATATACACGTATATACATCGCCCAGTACCAGAAAACATCGGCGTCTTCGTAGGCATAGTTGCATGGACTGTCCCTGAAACCGGCGCTAGTGGTCAAGGAACCCCAAAACCTGTTCGGAAGTCCAAGTCGAAAGAAGGGGTCAGACTGAGGATGGCTCGAGCCGTGGAGATTCAGCATGAGCCGGGAGAACGCCTGCACATCTTCGCCATGGCATCTTCACTCGATGATTCAGCGCATGAGTTGCTGAGAACTGTACCTACCAGTACGAGGAGCGGTGCAAGATGAACTTTGGGATTCATGGTCTCAAGAGCCCAGCTGCGCACCCTCGACCTCATTCTGACGACAGGGTTGTTTGACTGACAACAAGTCTGCCGAGAAATCTGCCCTCTCAGCCTCCACCAAGTCGATGTCGTCGCCCTCGAGCAAGGCACGCACGAGCGCACCTCTTCGGACCACCTGGCAGTCAGACTATCGGATGAGGGAAGAGGCAAATCAGAGTGGCTCTTTGTAGGTGAAGTCAAGCATGTCCGAGGATGGAATTCACCATGGGCGCTCCCTCCACCAGCATGCCACAACGACCCCATCTTTTTTCACTAGTGTCCATCGCCTCCTCGCGCATCTGCAGTCGGAGACTCGTCTCACCTTTCAATGTATTTAGCCTACCCAACAACAAGCCGAAAGCCATCTGGAGGCCCCCACCCCACTTGCCCCCACCCGCCTCGTGTGTCTCCATTTCTGGGACCGCAAGCCACGCACTACTAGTACCAGCCCGGCTACCCAAACAGGCAGGTCACTTGCCCCAGGGACGATTGAACCACGCAAGGTTTAGAACTTTCTCAAAACCACCTACAACACTTCTCGAAACTGCCTCCTGAACCCTGCAGCTCCTACACTCTGCTGTCGATCGGCGTTTAGCCTGTCATTGTTCTGTAGCTCTTGCACACCGAAACTCCCGAAAAGCCAAAACCTGAAACCTCAACTAGCCAAAACAAGCCTGACTGCCCTCTGAAACGACGGCCGAGACGCTTCAAACAAAAAACGCAAAGTAAACGACCGCCCACATCCCCCCGAAGCGCAGCAAAGCCTCAAATAACTGAAATATCCTGACATGGTCTTCCGGGCCTTCTTCGACCAGCTGCGCCTCAGGTGAGGCGGCCAAGTCGGCCAGGCAGCGCACCGCCAACCACTGCAGGTGTGGGCTGTCCTGGGCTAAGGCTTCTTGTTGGCTGTTGAGGTTCAGGGCCTTAGCTGAGGCTTGCACAGGGTCTCTGTCTCCGCATGGGCATCTTCGGGGTGCAAGGCTTGGAGTTGGGAGCTTTTAAGCGGCTTCTTGGGTCCAAGGGGCATCTTCGAGCAGCGCCAGAAGCGTTCGCCAGGCCTCCGAATCCCTCAGGATCCCTGGCACCTTCCAGGCTCGAGGATGGTGGCTTGGAGCTTTAAGGGCTTTGGCAGAGCTGGCAGCAAAGGTAGCACAGCAGAAGCAGCAAGACAACTAGGCGCCTTCGAAGGGTACACCGCACTTGGCTCCTGCGACGGGCAACAACCCGAAGTGCTCACTTCACATGCGCACGATGCCGGGAGCAAAGCAAACCTTTCCTCGGCCGTCGCAACGACACAAGTTCCGAATGGTGAAGACAATGTTCAAACCTCTCTGACCCTGCTGTCCCACACGGCACCCAGCTCCACCAACATCTCCAGGGCCTTCATCACAAGGCATGCAGTACACATTGAATACTGGATGTTGAGAAAGAGTTGAGTTTGCTTCTCTGTAAACCCTGACCCCCAAAAAGTTTGCAGGTTGACTTCTGTAGGGCTTTAGGCGCCTTCCTCCCTAAACTCCAAGACCAGAATCACAGGCACCCGCGTTCGGGTATCTCAAGATATCTCAAGTCGGATTAGGGTCGTGATTTGGAGTTGAGGCCTGTAGCGTTTCGCGTGCGGAGTTGGGGCTTTGAGGATGTAGAGCTTACACCTTGGGACTTGGAGTTGAGGGTTGTCGGGCGTGCGGGGTGGGGCTGAGGGTTTCATCTTTACCACTGAGGCGTGAGTCTTCCATGGCTTCCTGTTTGGAGTTTTAGGCTGTTGCCTTGCAGGGTTACGTGTTTTGTGCTCAGACTTTACTGACTGTGATTGCGCGCGTGCTACCTGCCCTGCGAAAGAGTGAGGTGTTTGTACCTGAACCTTGAGCTGGACAAGCTCCAAAACACTAAACCTAAACCTGTGGAAAGGAGCGGCACGGAGCCACTTAGACACCTCGGTTTCGCGTGGCAGGAATGGTGCGTTCGCAAAAAACTGCTCACAGAATGGGTTGCGGATGTGAGGTAAGCCCCCGTGCGGGCTCGCTTTTGCGGTGACACGTACAAGAACAAAGACTCTAGGTCGCGAGAGCCTAGGTCCAACATCGACAGCACTGGAGCAGGAAAAGCTGTCGAAGTCGTCAGGTGACCCCCTCATCACCAAGCTCACTGAAAGACCCAGCTTTCAAGGAGGATAACTCAGCTTCTATGACTCTGGATGAAACTGGTGAGAAGGCTCGTTGGAGCGCACAGCCCCCAGCCTAAGAAGTTCTTCAACCGACGAAGGCCTCGAACAGGCGCCGGCGGGATGCCGAGCCGGTGACGCCAGTGGGGCAACCGCTGCCTGCGAGCTTAGGGCTATCTTGACACTTGTGGCTTTGCCGAGATGCATCTGTGGACATGCAAAAGGCCTTCTAGCTAGCCTCCACTGCGGGGGCGGCGATAGACACCATCCCCAAGCCCCACAAGTAGCATAAAGCGTGAAGTGCTTGCAACTCATGCGAGCATGTTCCCAGACAGATGCGACCCCATCACCTGGATCAAACCATCCCCCGGGCTCTCAAAGTGGCATGGCGGGAGCCAGGTTTATCTCCGGCCATGTTGTTGCATTCAGTATTAAGCTCTGTCGGGCCATTTTCATCTCTGGCCTCGCTTCGCAATCCTAACTTATGGTCTACAGCACCTCTGTTTGATAGACAGCCGCTGCATCACCCTACCCCAAAAAAATCAAACTCCAAACAAACTTGGGCGCAAGAGTTGACAAGAAGCACTTGCGCGCCTTTGAGCGTTTGCAAAGTTCCCAGCATGGCCCGGAATCGGCGAAGGCGGCCCCGGTACCTCGGCGCGCTCACACCTCGAGTAGAAACCTCTCAGCTTCCCTTGATCCTGCAGCCCTGAACAATAAACCCGATGCTTGCACCAAGCCACTCCGCCAGCGAGGTGGTGGCCAGTTTCCGGCCCTGGCGATGAGCAGGCTTGGCCCGAAACTACGGGCCCTGTGTTAATACGATCCCTTCCATCTGCTTGCAACAAGGCTACTAGAAAAGGCTGCTACTCCTACTCCTGCTCCTACTCCTGCTCCTGCTCCTGCTCCTAGTCCTTGTCCTTGTCCTTGTCCTTCTCCTACTCCTACTCCTACTCCCACTCCTACTCCTACTCCTACTCCTACTCCTACTCCTACTCCTACTCCTACTCCTACTCCTACTCCTACTCCTACTCCTACTCCTGCGCCTACTACCACTACTACTACTACTACTACTACTACTACTACTACTACTACTACTACTACTACTACTACTACTACTACTACTACTACTACTACTACTACTACTACTACTACTACTACTACTACTACTACTACTACTACTACTACTACTACTACTACTACTACTACTACTACTACTACTACTACTACTACGACTACTACTACTACTACTACTACTACTACTACTACTACTACTACTACTACTACTACTACTACTACTACTACTACTACTACTACTACTACTACTACTACTACTACTACTACTACTACTACTACTACTACTACTACTACTACTACTACTACTACTACTACTACTACTACTACTACTACTACTACTACTACTACTACTACTACTACTACTACTACTACTACTACTACTACTACTACTACTACTACTACTACTACTACTACTACTACTACTACTACTACTACTACTACTACTACTACTACTACTACTACTACTACTACTTACTACTACTACTACTAACTACTACTACTACTACTACTACTACTACTACTACTACTACTACTACTACTACTACTACTACTACTACTACTACTACTACTACTACTACTACTACTACTACTACTACTACTACTACTACTACTACTACTACTACTACTACTACTACTACTACTACTACTACTACTACTACTACTACTACTACTACTACTAGCAAATAAGCACAAAAGAAGGAAGGTGCCAAGCGATGGAGGACAAAAAGTTGCCAAACGACCCTGCTTCCGAAAATCATCCTAAATCTTCTAGACCTTCTAAACCCCCGAAGCCCTCTAAATGCCTCAGCCCAAAGCCCCACATTCACCCTAAACCCTACCTCCTAAACCCCAAACCCCCTAAACCCTGCACCCTACCAACTCCCCAAACCCGCCCCCAAGCCTGGGCTCTCGAAGAGCTCACAGCACTAGTGCCAAAGTCCGCGCGGAGGAGCCGTAGCCAGCGCTCCTCTTTGGGCACGCTTATGGGGGTTTGGGTTGATTGGTTTTTCGTTTGTTTAGGGGTTTGGGGGCATTTCTTTGGGGCTCAGGGTTGTTTAGGGGTTTTTGGGTGTCCAGAGCTTTCTGGCTTAGCGTTTTGTGGGTTAGGTGGGTGGGGATCTTTTCTGGAGATCGGATGTTGCTTCAAAGAGGCGGCTTCAGACTTCGGGCTTCTTTTTGCATGCTTCGGGGATTGAAGGGTCTGAGCCGTAAGGTTGTCCTTAGGGTTTCGTGACTACCGTTGAGGACATCTTGATGACACACCCAAGTCAAAAAAACACCAGCACACAATCTGCTGCGTAAGAATGCTCGCTCGCACCACTCACCTCACGAAGCGCTTTCTTGTAGCTCTCCAAAATATACCAAAACACTTCCTCCACGTTGGAGCCCCACTCTTTGCAGCAGCTGCTTGCGCGGCGCAGGCTGTCGCAATCCAAGCACCTGCAATAGAGTCGGCACGACTCTTGCATGCGAAGGGAGCACATCCCTGCAGCTCAAGCTTTATGAAATAATTTGCGTTAAGCGGATGCACACTGACTTCAGTGACCGAGCGGTTGAGCGGAGACAACCCGTGGCACCAGAGGATTGCATTCAAGACGTCGAGGGGCAGGGACGGAAGTGACCAGTCCTTCCCCAGAAAACTGAAGCTCTAGTAGCAGAGCTTTCTTGACAGTGGCACCTTCAAGCTACAAGCCGGCGGCACATCTTCAAAGCAACACAAACAGTATGGCGGTGGCACCTCTGTAGCCTTTCCAGAACCCTCCCTGCAAATTCACTGGTGTGGCATCCGGCGCAAGGTAGGAAGAGAAGAGGAAGGCCCTTCAACGCCCTTTGGCAAGCAGTCCGGAGCCACATCAGCCTCGACCACGGCATCACCTGGCTCGGGATAAGGGACTATGAGCAGTGACTAGCAGCTGACTTTTTGACTTTGAGACGCAGCCAGCTCCATGTCAGCTAACTAAGCGTGCGCTACATCCTACCAAGCAGGACGGCTCCTCAAGGGAGCAGATACCGAAAAACAGAGACGACCCGTAGGTCCAGACACTGTACGCACCAGTGAGAGCGTCTGAAGGAGAGAAAGCTGTACAAGCCACTTACTTCGAAAAGCCTAGAGGCTACTATCGCACTCAACAAGGAGGGAAACCTCGGAGTGCTCAGAACCGGGCTTGCTTCTCGCTGGAATGCCACAACGTCCAGGAACACAAAGGTTCATGTCTGTGCAGCTCTCTGGTTCGGGCCTTCTTTGCGAGAGTTGCCAGCTTGTGCCGCTACCCTCATCTCCTGGCAATCGAAGGACAGCCAACCGTGCTGGCTCAACACCTTGCACCCTGCGATCTTCCTAGGGCCCCCCGAGCCCAGTGCCTGTTCGCCAGCCTTCACGATGAGGGCCCGCAGACGAGCCTGCCGGGCAGAGAAGGGGGAGGGGAGGGACGGACATCACTCAAGGCCACCAACTGACCCGAGGTGTGTGTGAGCCGACCAAACTCCACGACCGAGGTCTTACGAAACTTTACACCTCCACCAAACCTCAAAAATGCTCAGGCGAGCCCTTGACAGATGACCTCAAAGCTCTGACAGCTGGTGGAAGCCTGTCATGGTAATGCAGGACCACGGCTTAAATGCGCTGAGGGATTCGCCGACATTGCCGTATCTGCCACATAGCTTTCACAAAGCCTCACGCCTTATCTCGATGAAGAACCCTTGCTGCACCCCCGAGATCTAACGCCCAAACAGTGGAAGTCCCTGCCTGCACTTCTTCGAGCTCACGCAGATTCTGCTCAAAGTCGAACCTCTCAGCTTTGCACCTGCGGATCAAAGCGCATGGCGGGCAGGGCTTCGTCGTTTGGGCTCAGAGTTTAGGTCACGTAGTTGGAGCACGAACCACAGAAGGCCGTGTTGCTTCGTGTGCGTTGTTTTGGCCTTTTGGGGTCTCGGGGGCGGGGGCGAAATTACATTGGTCTCCTCCTGTATGCCAGACTCTATGCCATTCTGCGCTAGGCCTGCACTTGTGGCCCCGCACCCTCAACACGATTCGAGCCGCCCTCGGGCTGCTCCCAGCCGACCCCTTAACTTGCAAGAGGGTCTTTCCTCAAAATTTCCAGAACCCCGAGACCAAGCAGTTGATCCACTGCTGCCAGAAGGCACCCAACCTGCGCAGCTATCGCTGGCACCGAGCAAATATTGCTCCAAGTTTGGTGGCAGAGATTACCCAACCCTGCCTTTAACCCCCTCATACCCTGAAGCCCTGCCAACCACACCCAAACCCAAACCCTTTCCGAAAACAACCCTAAACCCTTCCTAACCCTAAACCCTAAACCCCAAACCCTAAACCCTAAACCCATTGCCTGTTTTGAGCCCTTGATATCCCTCTTTGAAAGTAGGTTGAAGCCACTTCAAGACGACCTTAGATGACCATCTTGCCCTTCAGAAACCCTCCGAACAGCAGGCCTGGGACCCTACTTCGCGAATACTCTGACATGTGCTTCCAGTTCCATGGCCTTCTGTGGCCCATGCACCCTTGTAGTTTGCCCCAAGCCCTGCTTAAATTCTTGCATAGGCCCGTATGTGACGGCTAGGCCACATACAGGCTTCTGGTTCTGGAAGCGAAGTCGCCTTGTCAGCATGTCACTGATCTCGGTGGCGATCACGCGCTGCCTGGCAACTCACAACCAGGAAACGCATGGCGACATCCGCCTACGATGCGAGTAGAGAGTGTGAACTCCCCACGTAGATGTGGCAGCAACATCTGAGCTTACTTCCGAGCTCTTCCTGGATGCCTTCTGTGTGCCGTCCAACATACATCAATGATCGGACAGCTAGGCGCAGCATGCGAAGCCTAGGAAGCTCTCACTGACTTGTGTTTCATATGTGCTGTTCGAATTGTAAGAGAACTGACCCAGCGTCGTCTGGCTGAGTTTGCAGTGTAGGCGTCAATCGGCGCTCAAAACTGTCAGCAAAACTCTTCGGGTACGCCAACCTCTTGCGAAGGGGCACTGCAAGGATTAGCGCCGCCGCCATAAGAATGAGCCCAGCCGGGACATAACCTAGATCAGATCGGCTGGGAATTTCCCATGGCTCAAACTCTAGCCCTTGGCCAGAGTGTGGGGCCATGCAGGCACGGGATCCTGCCACGAAATTCAGCACCGGTTGGAGCTTTGTCGCCGATGCTGGGGAAAGATGGCAGAGCCCAGACAGGGCAAAGTAGGAAAAAAACTCACAATGCGGTTCCTTTTGGCACCACTCTTGGCAATGTAGCGCAGACTCAACCACTTCAGGCTCAGTCAGCACCGGTTGGTACGAAGCATGTGCATCATAGCAGTCTCCTTGGATTCTGGATGATGTGGTTTTCCACTCTCTTCTTACCTGCAGGTTTAGGAAGTTTAGGCACCAAGTGACATCGTGAGCTGCAAATATGGTAATCAGCTTCGTGTAAAGCGCGTCATGAGTGCCTGCACGGGTGCTTAGATGAATGCCTTCACTGACCAATCCCTGTAAGGGAAGGGCAAGACCCTACACAGAAGGAGTCGTGGGGCAGCGGAACTTGCATTGAATATGTCGTATGATCATACAGCTGCGCGGCTCCATGGTTCCGTAGCGGCCAACCCAATTATGCGAACTGAGCCTGTTCAGATCTCAAAAAAACGACAGCATGCTGGCAAAGCCCAGTCTCTATGGCGCTTGGCCAGAAGCCGCGCGGCTGCACTGATCTGTTCCTCACGGCAGGCCGGAGGTCCAGAGACCCAGCCGTGCTTCCGCCCTGGCCTTGCGATGGGCATGCGGAGGTGGCCCAAAACGTGGCATTCCTGCCCGGGCTTCCAGTAGGCAAAGGCAGCGCAGCTGAGAATCCTCCGAAGGTTGGAGAGTTCGACAGTGGTGTGCCATTTTTTGGGCGATTTACAGGGTGGAGGGGCTTCAACACTTCAAGGCTAAAGGAGCTTCATTCAGGGCGACATGCCCAGTACACGCGCAGCTCCAACGAGTCATCGCCTCATGAACCTCAGTAGTGGGGCTTAAGAGGTGGGTGAAGGTGGAGGTCTCCGATCCAGAAACACTTTCGAAAATAGAATGACCTACCCGCATCGCATCCCGAATCACCCCTTTAAGGAGAGCTGTTCCGGCTACCGTTGAGGCACGCGAAGGTTCTGAATTAAAAAAGCCACGACTTCACGTGTGAATCTAGCCGAACCCAGATTTGTAAAGAAGGGAATTTTCCAAGCGACTGCAAACATGATCTGTTCCTCAACAGGGGTCTCGGCAGAGCTGCATGCCACTCACTTTGTGGGGATGCAGCGTGTCACAGCTCATGGGAATCCCTTGCTGCGCGTTGTGATAATTTTTGGCATTCTGGTACTTCACGGCATGCGATGCATATAGCCGGAAGGCAGCCTCAAGACATGCTGCTGGAAGCGAAGCCTCCGAACCCCAAACCGCCACCCCACCCCCACCCCCACCCCTAAAAACCCTCCACCCCAAAAACAGAAAAAACAAAATAATGTGACAAAACAAACACCCCTCACCCCGCCATTCCCTGTGGCAGCACGCTCTCCTGGAGCAGCGGGCTTGGCAGGCCGAGACGTTGTCTTCGAGAGACGGGGCCTGGCCTGCTAACCTCGACATGGGGGTTCAGGGTTTAGGGTTTAGGGGTTTAAAAGTTTTAGGGTTTAGGTAGGGTTTAGGTAGGGTTTAGGGTTTAGGGTTTAGGGTTTAGGGTTTAGGGTTTAGGGTTTAGGGTTTTTTTTTTTAACAACCCTTCACTCCTTTTCGGGCGAGCTTACAGCTAGGGTAGGTTACGAAACCGGAAAGCAATGCCCCTCAGTACTCCCTGTGCATGATCATGTCACGCGCCCACGTTTAGGGTTTAGGGTTTAGGGTTTAGGGTTTAGGGTTTAGGGCTTAGGGGGGCTCTTGGCCTTGAACACGACCCCTTGCCATCACCGAAAGACAAGGAGCCCGCTTCTGAAATCCACATCTGCAGTGTCCGTGCTGCAGAGTAGTGTCTCTGACTCGTTGTGCAGGTTTATGGGCGTTGCCGGAATCTGGCATGCGGAGTCAGAGGGTATAGTCACGCTTTGACAACAGAACAAGGCGTGTTGTGATGAATTGCACAGGCGGCATCCGACTGCAAAAACATGTGTGAGAGATATGCTTCAGAGATGAGTTTTTTCGAGCCTACGTTGAAACGCGGGCTGGATTCCTGTGTACAACTGGGGGCCTACTCATGCTGGAGCACAAGCTCCCGCATCATGAACCTAGCTGCAATCGGGGCCAGCCTCGGATAGCTCCGACAGTTCCAGCATGACTGCATCCGCAGCTGAAGCATTGTGCACATCGCGGGAGATCTGCATTCTCCTGCGGACACGGACATGAACAGAAAGGTTGCTTCTGGAAACCCAGCAGTTTTGTGCTCTTCGTCAGTTCTTCGTTATGCTGGAGGATGTCTCTCTTATGCTGGCAATAGTTGGCAATAGTTTTCTTTCTGTCGGGGTTCGCGTGTTTGGTTGTCGCGGAATGGGGTGTGGGGAGTGCGTTGCATTGTGGTGTGCTTAAAACGGGAAACCACAGGGGTGGAGGATGGAAAAATCTGCCACACTGACCCACGCCTGTATCAACACGTGCCAAGACTGCTAAGACCCGAATAACCCTAGAACGTAGGGTGCCCTACCCATCCCAGCCATGTTGACGGCAAGTATCACAGGCCTGGCCTAACGATGTCTTCCGCATACGTGCGAAACTCCAACGTGTCAAGGCTGTCTCTCTCTTGCAGCCAGTCCGCGCTGTCATCCGAGAGGTTGTATCCGAAACGCAGAAAAGCCTCCTCCAAGCGCTGCAGATCCATCAGGCTCGTGCTGGAATTCTCTGGACTCAGTCTCCGTCGGACAATGTTGAAAGGCGCAGCCTTCAGGACGAGCCGTGCTTCCTCTTCGGCTGCTGCTGCGGCGTTCTTTGCCTCTGCTGCTCGGATCAGCCGGTTCTTCCTCCCCACTTCACAACTGGCCCAGGTCGCTGCACCGCCGGCAGAGGTCGTAGTGAGCCCAGCTGCAATCGCAGTCACACCCGCCAAGCAGATCGCATCGCGTTCTTTCTCTGGCGAGCAATGATTCACTGCCAAGGCCAAGAAAAAGACAAGCTTCTCAAACGCGGTCAGCACGATGGATACATCAACAACGCAAGCCGCCGTGCTCAGCTTTTCCGTGAATCTTGTTGCTCGGTTAATGGGGCAAGACCTTCCCATGGCATCAAGGGCAAGCCCTAAGGATGCGATCGAACGCGTCGCATCCACCGCATCGAAAACGCACTGGGCTATGTCTACCTGCCGCGCCTTGGGCAAATGCATCGTGAAGTCAGCCAAACGCCTGCCGGGCTCAATTTGCTTCGGAAGCTCGGGTGCTCCTTTATCACAAGCTGCCGAGAGAATGACACCTCCATTGACCAGCAGTGACCAAGGTATCAACAAAGTCTCCACTGAAGCAGCACAAGCTTCTGCTACAGTGGCTGTCCGGGAACAGGTCGATGAAAGGACGGTCAAGGATCGAGCGATCTGTGCTAAAGATGCAAAGATGGCAGTGGTGCTCAGCAAACAAACCTTCTCTGGAACGGTTGCCTCGTCCCCTGGCTTGTATGACTTCGACGCCTCTGCAGATTTAGGGCACAGCTCCACGATGTTCTTGATCTGGAAGCTAATCCGTGCCAAGTTGCTCACAAGCCCGACAGCACCAAAGGAGCACGTGGCCTGTTTGAACTTTTTCCTGTCTTGCACGTTCATTCTTGCGACATATTCGGGTGGCCGCTCTGCTGTTCCAAGCAGGTACGGCAAGACATCTGTGTCATGTGCCGAGATCACAGCATGCGTGCTCAGCACACCAAGCCACCACGCAGAAGACACAAACATGAGGCCAAGCAAGGCGCCGGGGCTATGCACGGCTTTCACTCCATCTTTCCGATCTTTTCCGATCTTCCGAGCTCTGAGCCATGGAGACAATTTGACCAGCGAGTTCAGAAGGCATGTTCATCAGCCAAATGAAAACAACGCCAAAGCTGACCCCAAGAGAGCTCAGGGAACTCCGCCTGGGAGGGCCAGTGCTCTCCAGCACCTCCAGAATCCACAAGGGCCGAGGGCTTGGGCGGTTTCGAGTTGACCTGACGAGTTGACCTGCTGTTTGTGATGACTCCCAAAGATGAAAGCATCAGCACGGAAATTATGACGTCAAGATGTGGTCCCGAAGATCCCGGAAGATTCCGCAACCTTCATGAAACCCATACGAGCACAAACGATCTCTACCTACGACTGCGAGCCTCGCCATCCGCGTCGCTCGGAGTGTCTGGGACGGGGCTGGGGACCTCGCAGGCTAAGGTCCTAAAGCGGCAAGGCGCTTGCCAAGTCTACCCACGTCCACATTTTCACACCCCCTGAAGCTCAGACACGGCCTTTAGTGTGTTCAGCTCTTTCATGCAAAGCCCCCGACGCAAAAAAGAGCTGAACACACTAAAGGCCGTGCAGCCTAAAGCCCCCGGACCACTACAATCAAAGTCTGGCGAATCTGGCGCTCAAAAATGACAAAAAATCGGGGTTTTTCAATGGTGGTTTTGGATGGTTTTGGGGGAACTGGTCCCCAAAACCGTCGCGCTTCAAACACTCAAGTCTCTACGCCCCACACGCCCAAACCCAGCTTTTAAATCCCAGAACTCCAAGCTGACCCGCCCGAGAAAGTCCGCCTCTTCCTTGGGCGATGCCGTGGACTCCGAGGCGACAGCCGGAGGCGAGAAGACCTCCAGGGGAGAGAGGACAGCAGATCTCATTCTTCATCTATCTAGGGGGGGGGGTTCCCGAAATTGGGGGGAAACAATAGGGGTCCTTGTTCTACGGGGATCCTACTCTTTGGGGGATCTATAATCAGCGGATAAGCAGAACTTGGGGGCGAAGGCCTGGGACGAAAGCTAGTTAAGGTACCCCCACGGAAGAGCTTCCTTCAACAGGGCATCCACTACGTATCAGGACAAGCCTACGCCAAGGCATGAGGCCGTCACCTTTTTCCCGCGCGCTCCGTTTGGAGTTCCGAATGAAATGAAAAAGAGGCGTTCTTTTAGAGATAAATTAGAACGCAAAAGAACGTGTTGACAGGGAGTTCTTTTGGAGCTCCGATGATCATCGCAAAAGAAGGCGTCGACAGGGAGTTCTTTTGGAGCTCCGATGATCATTTCGGCATCGCCGCTTCAGCTAGTTCTCGCAAGCTCGGTGGCAGCTGAGGCATAGCTGGAGGCGCCAAGTTCAGTACCGTTCGTTTATATGGAAATTCGAAATCAGTCGTGGCAGACATCAACTTCGAGAGCTGCTCGTTGAAGTCTTGGCTCAGTGTGCAGGGGCCAAAAAACTCCGAACAGGTTTTAAATGCTGGTCCAAGCAGGTTTTAAATGCTGGTCCAAGCAGCTGCTGCCCGTGAACCATGGCGAAGCCGCGGCAGCAGGCCCACTGCATGTCATCGTGCATGCAACAAGCACGTTGAGAAGGTAGTCTTTGGCCGGCACCAGAAGCGTAGGGCTGTTCGGGAGAGGAGCCGCTGGCCAACACCAGCACGTTGCAAGTCGAACTTTGTGAGCTGCCTTTTCCCAATGCAGCAGAGACGTGCGATCTAGCACAGGAGTCCACTGGCAGAGCTTGCAGTTGAGAAACGCGGCGTTTTGCAGAAGAGTTCGAGCGCCGTGCCGTGTCGCCTCGGACGCTGGCACAAAACCGCGTCGAAAACGAACAATCAGCGCTTCCAGGAAGTCCAGGAACTCGCCTGCAACATCATTCGTAGGCGAGGCATTCTGTTGGCGAGCAGCGGCAGCGGAGGGCAGGTCGAGGCTGTGGTGTTTTGCAAAGTCCCACACCAGACCATGATATCTGGCCTCGCTGACAGTAGACGGGATGCGCCGCAAGGCAGCAGTGCCGTCATGGTACTAGACCCAAATCAACATCAAGGCTTCTGAGTCTTTTCTTGGGGGACTTGGGAAGTTTTCAAGGGCCTGGGATCCACAGAAAACAGCGTTCATTTGCAGCCAATATACGAAAGAAATGAACGCCAGCCCGTTTCCCCAAAACCTGTGTTCGCCACCCGGAAATCGACCGGGTTTGCTGCGTTTCGTGGCGGAGCCTCCGGGTGCCCTGTATACCCTTCAGGTTGTAAGCTTCGCTTAGGTAAGATACTCCGCTAGCTCCTCAGGGGCTAGCTTTCGTGATTTCCTCCCCTCTCGTCCCGCCGGCTCTCGGCCTGCGCCCTGTCCTTTATCCGGGGGGTTTTCTCGTCTGCGTCATCTGCTTGCCCGGGTTTTGGCCAGCCTTTGGCTTTGAGCCCTCAACCCTCGTCCCTGGACTCTGAATATGCTACCATAAATCCGACACACATGAGCTCAAAACCGACACCCGATAGCAGATGCCTCAGCCAAGCCCAAATCACAATCCTCACACCCCAAGCAAGCCTCAACGCTACCAGCCCCCCTTAACGCCCCCCTTAACCCCTCCTCAACCCCCCCCTTAACCCCCCCTTGACCCCCCGCACCCCCTAACCCCCCAACCCCCCTACCCCCCGGGCCCCGGTTGGCCTCCACGTCCTTGTCAGGCACATCCACGAGGCCGATGTCCTCCAACTCCAGCGGAGGCCTCACGGATCTTCTGCCCTGAAACCCCTGAAGGCCTAAACCTTACTGCATTCGTGGGACAGTTTGTTGGCAAGTTTGTTGGAAGTTCTAGGGCTTCTCCACGGGTGGGTTGAAGCCCAACACGGTTCTCAAGAGTTCCGAAAGTCAGGTGCTTAATGAGGTTGTAAGTACTTGCAAGTTCTGTATTGAGGAGATGCTTCAGGATCGAAGCGTCTGGGGCCGAACTCTGTCCTTCTTTTCCCTTAAAGACTGAAGATGCCTATACTGTGAGGACCTGCTTCTGTCTGCTGCACAGGGCACAGGGGCAACCGCCAGAAGTCGACCTCGGCACGAAGTGGCGCGCGCTGCGGCACCTCTGAGTTTGAGGCTCAGGCACGTCAGGGAATCTTAGGGGGTTCGGGGTTGTAGGGTTTAGGGTTTAGGGTTCAGGGTTTAGGGTTTAGGGTTTAGGGATTAGGGCCGATTAGGGTGGGTGCGTGCTGAGGTTTCAGGCCTGCTCTCTTGCAGCCGTTTCTTGCTGTTCAGCTCATACGTTGGTTGCATCATGTTCTATGTATGCACGGCTTCAGGCAGATTGCCTCCCCACAGCATTCGGCTCTAGAGGATTTGGGGTTCGGCTCACATTCCTCAAACTACCCGAATCACCCTGGGACCATCTTCCTTCCGGCTTGGTCCTTGCCTCCCTTAACGGAGTCTTGGGCCTAGGCTTCGGGCGTATGATGCCTGAGGTGCGGAGAGTCTGTAAGCAGGGTGAACCCTTCACCCCCTCCCCGCTTGGCAATGCTTGCAGTCCCTGTTCGGGTCTTCTTGGGTCCAGGTCTCCTGCCTCCAAGGCGGCCGAGGGTAGAGGCAAGTGCCAAAACGCGAAAGCCATGGTTGCCGGGCTTTGCCAGCTGCGGAGTGAGGATAAAACGTGGTAAAACTTGTTGCGCTGAGTCAAGACTTCTGTCGCGTCAGGTCTTCTGCAGCCGTGGCTGCATGGATGTCAGGGTCGTCTGTTTTAAGGCTTAAGGTTCTATATTCATCCAGAACAAGTTGAGTTCATGAAACAGTTGGTGCTGGTCTTCCCATCCACATCCTAAACCCAGACACCCACACTTGCATGTTCCCGTCTGAGGCTTCACAGCTGCACCATGCAGCCGAGGCATGCATCTTTCAGGCTTGCCAAGGTCAAGATCAAGACTCCTTGTGTCCTCTGTCTGAGTCTGCCTTCCTGACTACGAAGATGCACTGTCTGAGACGGAAGCAAGCTCCAGCACTTCATCTCCTCAATTAATTTACCCCTCTTTACAGAACCTGTAACAATTCGTGAGGCAACACTCGGGGCAACCCTGCCCACAAACTCAAGCAGCCAACTTGCTCCGAAGCGCGCCTGAATGACCACCTGTAAGCACCAGATCTTCAGGTGCTTCGTATTCCTTAACCCTAAACCCTCAACCCGAACTCATCGTAAATCACTCGAGCAAGCGCATATTCTGGCGCTGCCTGAGCTGTTGCATCAGGCTCCTCCACCGAATTATCCAGGTTCATTCGGTGATCACGGGCGGAGAACACCGGCCGGTGGCACACAAATCGCAAACAGGACGAGGTGGTCCGCGTCCGATAATGCTCCATGTCATGGCCAGCTTGCTTGTGACAAGAGCTGCAGTACACAATCAGCAGATCACACCCAAAACCTCCTGTCTTTCGCGCAGCGTCCCACAAGGGTCTCGCAGTCCACGTACAAAAGCATGGGGGGGGCGGTAGAACTGCATGCGCCCGGGTAGAGTAGGTAGAGTGGAGCACCAGCAAAGCCTCTGCGTCAACAGAACCACAGGGATGGGGCCAACTTTGAGGTTCACTTGGGTAGCGCTAAGTTATAAGTAAAGCTTTATAAGTGAATGTCAGACGTCACAGTTAGAACTACTAATCAATACCAAGGACACTCCAAGTATGAGCCCATGTCCAGGTCGGAGAATAAGAGCCTCTGACGGCGACGTTCGGCAGCTCCATCACCGACATAGTGGACGTGCACGCGTGCCCATACTTTGGCATTCTGACAACTCCTGCTGTTGCGTGGCGGATCCGTTCATGCAACATCTGGTGCTGCCATTTCGACCTGGGCGAGCAAATCACGGAGAGGGCAGGGCATCCTGCACCAGCAACGTCGACAGACCTTTCCCGCCCCCCGCCTCCAGAGACTTTGTGAGGAACCTTCTGCCCGAGGCACCTTCCGGCAGGTCCAAGCTGAACCTGCTCCAGGGCTCTAGGCTCGAGTGCTAGAGTCCAGATCCTCCTACACCCGAGGATCAACTGCGCTGAGCGGACCTTAAAGCATCTCCTGTCAGAGAGACTTGCACTGGCAGATCAGCGCCTGCGGCCGTTCAGGTGTCCGACGATAGGACCGCCACCTTGTGCGACAAAACTTTCCCCAATTGGAGGGATTGGGAGGAGGAAGCCGAAGAAGCTTCTACGATTCTGCGACAACATGAGCAACAAGATGTTTTCACTTTCCCAGCCGCAGCTTCCTCACTGGAGTATCAGGGACAGCAACGTCAGCAGCAATAGCACACCACCATACCACTCCCCTAACCCCCCCCAAAGCAGGTGACAGCAGTGGCACTGCCGAATCGCAGGTAGGAGACTAACCGTTGCTGACTGAATGCTGAGCACGGAGCCATCATCGTACAAGTATGTGCCGAAAATGTCATGCACCTCATTAAGGGATCTGCTCTCTTCCATCAATCACGTTCTGCAGTCTTCTTGTGCATACATTTGTCGTGCGGCCATGGTGGTCTTCTTTCGTTTTATTTCTTTTTGTTTCTTTATTA